GCACCACTGGGCCCCCCCGCCTCTCTCATACCCAAGTAAGTGTCCATCAGGCCAAAAGCAGCTGCTGGGAGGAGGGGTCCAAAAGCCTGCAGGCTCTGAAAAAGGTGCTTGACTTTTGCTTGTAGAGCCCCGCTTTGGGGGAGAGCAAGAGAGGCCATGACTGTGCCTTCGGTGTGTCACCGTGAGTGCAGGCCGGTGGCCGTAAGGGCTGTGCCACTGCCGAGGTTATTTCCAAGCCCTGCGCTGTGAGAAAGAGCAGGGTTGCTTTTCTACACCCACCCTGCATTTAAAGGACCTGTGGGCAGAGTGATGGGGAGCTCATCATATCTTCCTTAACCTCCTCCAGGCCTGGCTCTCTGAAGAGGAGCCTTGTCTCACACTGTCCAGATGACTGTTCAAACAAGAGGTCACGCACCTCTTCCATCAGCTCCCTGAACAATACCTACACTGCCGGGATCCCCAGCTCCAGCCACAATGTCATCTCCAGCTCCTACAGCTCCAGCTGTGGCCTCTCACAGGTAGGAAACACCCTGCTGAAGGCAGTGCCGGAGCCCAGCATGGTGTAGAGCAGCTGGGATCCCTCTTCTGGCATCGCCCCATGTAACTCCAACCTTGGGCTCGTAAGGAGGGTGCGGTGTCGCTGGGTGCCTGGCAGCAAGTGCCACGGGGAGCCTGCAGCACGGCTCGTGGGGCAGTTTCATCTCCTCGCGGGTCATTTTTTTTGGCCGGCAGCAGCAGGCAGCCATGTTACTCGTCCTTCGGTGCACGGTGCCGGGGGAGTCTCCAGGCTGAGCTGTCCTGCTGCAGTGCTAGTCTTACACCAAAGCAAGAAGGAGGCAGTTTTCCCCTCCCTGCTGAGCCTTGGCCAGTCTGCCAGGGAGGCTAGATCCAGGTGGAAGGAAAAAGAAAAAGGAAAAAAAAAAAAATCACTTTGCTGCACTGCCATCTTTTCAACTGGAGTCAGCAAGTGTAGGAGCCGTGTGTTCCTGCTTTGACTCAGGTCCCCTCAGCAGCTGCTGAGCTGTAATAAAACACTGCTTACATCCTGGGGCAGGTTTGTGGGTGTGGCGGAGGGACATAGTCATGGGTTACGGAGCTGTGCAGTCTATGTGGGGAGAGGTTTCCCCCAGGATATATTGGTGAGGAAAGGTTTCTTCTGGCTGGGGCGAGTTCAAAATCCATGAGATGGGATCTGTCCACTCTGAGCTTCTGGCGAGGAGATGGCCTGCTCCTGCCAGAGCAGCCCTGCACACGTGAGGGTGTCTGAGGCAGCTGGGCAGCCTCTGCCCGTGCCACATGAAGGCAAGAGCTGGCGTCTGACCAGCAACATCCTCCCTCCTTGTCCTCTTGGCCAGGCTGTAAAGAGCCTGGAGGCTGTTTGCTTCCAGAGCGCATTTGGTTTTGAGTGGCCAGATTTTGCGCTCCACTGGATGTGGAGAGGAGTTAAGGAATGATGAAGCAAGACAGGCTCTGGGCCCGCTAGCCACAGCTCTGTGAGATGGCATCTAACCTGCAGGCGAGCAGGAGGATGGGAGGCTGTGCTCCCTGTCAGCCCAGTACTGAGTTACTGCTGGTCTCTCTTTGCATTCCAGCTGAGGAAGAGAAGTGGCGTGAGCGTGTCCTCACTGTCCAGCCCAGCGTCTTCCCGCTCCCAGACGCCGGAGCGGCCTCTCAAGAAAGCCAGGTAACTA